ACACCAGCAAATGAATTTGTCTGCTCTGCTTACAGATTCTCGCTGGAAACCCGACGAGGCGGCCTGGTTCGCATCCACGACACCGCTCTAAACAGCAACTCGCAGTACAAGAGCCTCCTGATCAGCGCCCGAACGACAGCAGACGAAGCCTTGGCCCTCCTCCTCAACTGCTGCGGCAGCAAAGAGCGCCTCGAGCAGTTCTCGCTGTACGAGGTGGACGCCGAAAAGGAGCAGCAAAGGAAGCTGCACCCCGACGACAGGCCGCTGCTGGTGCAGCAGACGTGGCTGCCGCTGCACCGGTGCCACTTCTTAGTGAGGAGGAACCCCGACTATATGCCGCTCAGCAGACGGAAGGTATGTTCTTTGAAACTTGTGTACGTGTTTCGACGTGTCTGCCCAATATGTTTCATCTTACAGTCATCACAACAGTGGCACGTGAAGGATTCGGTTCGTGTTGATATGTTCTTTGGGACTCGTGTGCATGTTTCGTCTTAACTGTCCAATATGTTTCATCTTACAGCCATCACAAAGACTGGCACGGAAAAAATTTGGTTCGTTCTGGTATACTATTCAAGAAATTCGAACGGATATTTACTGAGGTTTTCTTTTATAATGCAACTAGACGAATCATAACATGATCGCAGAATACTGGCTATGTTTGATGTGTCGTTATTATAATATGCACAGTGAATAATTGTTATTATGATATTTAAGCGAGTATTTAAGTCATCGTGGGATACTCTGCGTTCGGCTCCCATTGTCAAAATAACTCCTGGATAGGGGATAAGTTCTTTTGAGAAATAAGAAAGTCATTGTTGAAATATCTAAAAAAAAACTAATTTCTTGGCAAATAACACAAAATATTGTATTATTATCGAAACAACTCAACGCATTTCTCGAAAATTTTAAAAGCCTTGGTCTTCGGAAAGCAATCGTCACCAAATTAACGAAAATCAAAAATATAAATTGTTCTTCTTGGGGGAACAGTTTTGTTTTCAGAACAAAGATATTTTGCAAAATAATAGTTTCAGCAACTCTTAAAGAATTCACATTTTCGAAAAACATTGTAAATCTGAAATGAAGATAGATTTCACTATTGAGATTGTCATAGGACTTTCCCTTTAAAAGCGAGTTTAAAAGTGTCCAATTTGGCCTCGAATTTGGCCCACCCTGTACATTTTTCTATTCCAACCTTCACTAAGCTCTTCTTCTTTTTCAGATCTTCTGGGTATCCGACCTACCCCCTCTACCAGCGTCTACGACCTTCAGGACGTCTCAAACCCCCAAAAAAACGAACAACAGCATCATCCCCATCTCATTTTCTCAACCCCTTCTGTCTACCCACGGGTCAGCGGAAGACTGCGCGAGGAGGGACGAGAAGAAAAAGGACACCCCCAAACAGAACACAGTCGCCTCAAAACAAACAGTGGTGAACAAAAACGCCAAGTTGACGATTTGCAAAAACAACGCGCAGCCCTCGTATGCGGATTACGAAAATTATTTTTACATTTAGCTACAATATTTATACTGACCGGAAGTGTATATATCTTGTATATATTTTGTGTGTGCTGTCTAGTTTCTTAGCATAAAAAGCAGCTAATCTAGCGGTGGATTTGATGAGAAAAATCTTGCGAAAAAAATTGAAAGTTGTCACAGGCAAATAAAATACATATTCACCTACCCTACAAAAATATTGAGATATACATACAGGGTGCTGAGGGCGGATTGTTTGGAAAATATTGCTGTGGAAAAAGATACAGGGCGTTTCAATCAAGAAAGTATTGACTATAAACTTATTCAATAACGAGAAATGTAATTTACCAGCAACAATTATCTGAGTTCTGACAGTCCAAAGCACACTCATCATGAATGAAATAATTGAAATCCCCTTCCGAGAATTTGAACTGTTCAATTACGTTTTTCTCAAAAATGGATGGAAATATCGTGTTTAGATACTAGTACCAATATTATGTAGAAATGATGTACATGTCATATTTTTTTGATAAAAAGTTTCATCAAGAAAACTTCATTTCATCATCAGAATAATACATGAAATAATATTCCCTGTATAAAATTATGCTTTTGTGCCGAATTCGATAACAATTGAGCAATATGCAGTGAAATTATTAGCAGAAATCGAAAAAAAAATCTTTGATAACAATAATTGATAAATATGCAGTGAACTTATTAGCAGAGAACAATAAAAAATCAACTTTAGGGCCTTGTATCTTTTTCCACAGCAATATTTTATCAAAGCATATTTGTTCCCATGGTGGAAATGTATGGAATGAATTCATTATATCTAATGCATATGAATTTGAAGAAAAATCCTGAGACAGGTCGATTTTAATTTTCAAATTGACACCTCTTGATATACATACGGAGTTTGTAACGTCATCGATTAATTTTTAAATGGAAACATCCTCTTTTTATTTTATTTTTTCAGAAGGTATATTCATTGTCTATCCAACCTTACTGATATTAGCAAAATAAAGTAATACAGGGTGAGAAAAAACTGTTAATTATTTTATATTTACAACGGAAACCCTTACAATAAATGTTCGAATAGGTGACCTTCTGCAATGATACAATGTGAATGACGATATACATTGTTCCTGATTTATACAGGTCGAATTTTTCATTAAATGTAATTGTTTCCATTGTAAATATAAAATAAATGATAATTTTTTCTCACCCTGTATTACTTTATTTTGCTAATATCAGTATATGGTTGGATAGACAATGAATATACCTTCCGAAAAAATGAATAAAAAGGGGATGTTACCATTTAACAAAAACCGATGACGTCACCACAACTACGCGGATGGCGTTACAAACTCCGTATGTATATCAAGAGGTGTCAATTTGAAAATTAAAATCGATCTGTCTCAGGATTTTTCTTCAAATTCATATGCTTTAGAGATGATGAATTTATTCCATACATTTCCACCATACAGTATATGTATGTATAGTTATGACTCATGACCCTGTATATGCCTTTAAGAACTTATAGTTTCAATTTTGCACTATATACTTTATCTTCTATCAGTTTTGTTCACATATTTCAAATTGTTGATAAGATCTAGGCTGGAATCTAGGTAAAAAAAATGATTCATGCATTATTTCATTGGGACTAACCTGTTTTTATTTGGAATTATAAAAAGTATAGTAGATATCACATAACTCTGTTCTATGCTAAGAAAAGAATCAAATTAAATTCAGTCATATAGACATTTTCTTAGAACCATTCCTGAATATCTGGATTCAGATACTAGTAGAGAATAGTGCATTTTATTCAAATCCACCGAAAATGTTTTCAAAACCAAAGAATTTATATTTTAAGTTGTGATATATGTTTAACCAATTTTTGTATTCAATTTTGATCAATTATTATTGACTATTGGGCTTCAGAACAAAGAACACTGATAATATCAGTTAAAAGAGTGTGGAACTACAAATTTTTCTTGAATATTCATTTTTTTTTAATGATACACCCCTGTTAAAACTATTGAATTGATTGTATGGCAGATATTGTATATGTACTGAGTGAGTTCAGTGATTGTTGTCTTGTGAACCATGTCTTGACTAGTATAAGATACATTATGATTCCTCTTTTTTGGCAATGAGCTCATATTTGAAATAACATGCTTCATCATCATTACCCTATCCCCGAGCCTATCCCTTATTGTTTGATTTCTGATTGATTAATGATGAAATAAATCATGAAAATCATCCATATCTCAAAGTGGTCCAAAGTAATTTCAAAACAAAAAACAACAAATTTACATGTTTGTTGTTATTTATTTTGATAGATGCAATAAACAATGAGAAATATATTTTTTCTTGCCAAGTTGAAAACTAACATAGCATTATCAATTTTGAATGAACTGTTCATAGTTGAGAGTGATGTTTACCTGTTAATTGGAATTCTGAAGTTAAATGTGCAAATATTTTGTGTTTCAAATTTAATTTAATCACTTACCCAAAGGCTACAGATATTCAAAATATTTGCAGTTCTCTGCCATGTAACATCCCTCAAACTTACTGAAACTAGTTCATCACTAGGTATGGCATACCTTGCTTGAATCTTAAATACAGTAGATTGTTAGTAGGTGCCTTCCAATCTGTTGTTCATTTGGTTTGTTTCATCTTACCCAAAGTGTCTCATCTAAGATGGCTAGCCAATCTGTATGTAGGTAAACTAGTAAGATCCTATAGTGATGGATGTGACATAGACTCTACAACTGTGAACTGCTTCTCTAGCTCTCTACCTACATCAGGATATTTCAACAATAACCTTGTAAATAGCTGGTGTATTCTTGAGGAAATCAAGTCAGATATGTAAGTGAATCAATATTATGTATTCAAACCAATGTGCAATTTATAAATAGATTTACTTCTAGGTGAATGTTCTCAAATATATACCAAAGAAATGTTTAAAACAAGGATGCATTGAAAACCTCCTCTATGAATCAAAATATTAGGTAGGTAGTAGATCATTGTATATCTAAAATTGAGTTCAAGATACCCATATACATGTAATATATATATAATATGCAAAAAAAGCGTTTTACTATTTTCAATATTTTTATGCAACACTTTATATAAATGTACCTATACATACCTTGAGATTTTCTATGGATTTCCTAATATTCTTTCATGCACCAGTCTTTCTGGAAATGATCAGGAAACCTGGAGATTCATGGCACCCTCAATCACTTTGATTCCACTTTGAAATGTAAAGCTTTCTCAGACAGTCAAAATGGATAAAAGAAACCTTGTGAAAGAAATATCATTTTATATGACAATTGAACTACCGCAGAATTTGAACTACCATTGAATTTGAACAAGCAGAACAGAGGAATGTCTTCTTCTTTTTTTACTGCAAGAGTTCCGAGCACTGTTCCGTGTTGTGTAACTGACAAATTGACAATATTCTCTATTGACATGTTGTTGAAGAAAAGTTGATGATAGTTGACGTATTTTGAGTTGTCACTGTCACTGCTGTCAGTTCTTGATCTGAATTTGCCATTTCCAATCTTTTTGATTTTGGAAAGCAATAAAATAATGGGTATCTCAGCCACAATTTACAATACAATCTTCAAAAGGACCTCAACAATGGCTCTTGCTGTCATAGGATCAGCGTTTTTCTTTGAAAGGACCTTTGATCTTGGAACAGACTATTTTTTTGATAGGCACAATGAAGGGGTGAGTTATTACATAACAATCTGAGGAAATGCATTTATTTCAACATGCTCAGGCTGCCTGTGGTGCCGTGAAAGGCTAGATTGTTTAAACTGCTTCATAATATTTTGGTACCCCATTAACATTCTTTAATTTTGTTTTTCAGAAATTGTGGAAGCACATCAAAGGGAGATACCAGTAAAAATATGTCTAAATGTTAGTCTAATTTCTATTTATATAATAATAAACATGATATAAAAAGTAGAAATTTTACAATAATTTTGAATACCTACCTACTATTCAGTGACTTCCCAGGGTTTCTCTGGTCTCTCTAGGTCCCAAGGCCTAATAGGCTTAAACTGTGTTGGTTCTTTGAGACACACTCCACCATCTTCAACTGCTTTAAGAAACAAAGCAACTTTGCCATTGGGATTGGGGGCATCAATGTAACAGCTCATTTCTATCAATCCACTCTGGAGACATCTTTGTGCAAAAACCTAAGCAACTATATTTAGACAAAGGAATTTTTTGGATATTTTGGCATTACCCTTCCCAAATTAATATATGCTGCAGTATCATTGGTTTTATACAGCTGCTTTTTCAGAGCCCAATCAGATGTGCTTGTCCTCAGGATTTCTCCACCCTCAAAATGATGTACACTAGCTGTAACATATCTTCCAGAACTATGGAGGAGTAATCTATAAGATAAATCAATCAAATTTGTTATCAAGCACAATCCGAAAAATATTCACTTGTGCCAATAATTTCTACCTGGGGCCTCTACATGGTAACCATCAGGTTTATAAGCAATTCTCATTCTTTCCAAGTTTCTGGGATTTCTGTTGGTAAATATTGGTGAGACTTCATTTTTTGGAGTGACAGTACTAGCTGATCGATGAAGCCTCAGTTCATTTATCAATTTATTCGTGTTGTATCGAAAATTCAACATTTTTTCCAAAAAATAGCTACTCAAATTTTTTGTTGTTTTTTGTGAGGTTAGTTTAGGGACAAACATCTCTCGCCAGTTATTCAATTAGTGGCATGCTGCCGTGTTGCCTTTTTTCTGAAAATGAAAATTATATTTTTCGGAAAATTACTATGGTGAAAACAGAAGATTATTATAAGCATGAGGACGAAAGATATCGTCTCTGCATAAAAAAGTCGACCGCTTTCTACCGAACTCGTCCTAAATGATCCTTTTTCTGAAAAGTATATTTCTCAAAAAATGACGCAGAGATTAGAAATTAGAACGCGACGCGAGCCACCGCCGAGGAAGTCAGATAGACAGACCACTTAGCTATCGAGCTACTCGAAAGTTCTAAAACTAAAACTATGAAGAAATAAAAAATGTGTGTTGGCCGTTGGCTTGTTCAAGGATAACAAGCAGCACATCAGCATGCTACTAAATGAATTACTTGCGAGAGACATTTATACTTTTTGTTTTTAACTTTTAACAGTCAAGGATTGTTAAGGTTTATCAATTACAATTTATCTGTCAGTTAAAGCTTAACTACCAGTTTTTTTGAAAAGGTCGGTTTATCTACACCAGGGTAACTTTATCCGGCAGTTAAAATGTCAAATATTTATCTGTAAGATTTAACTGGCGGATAGTCGATATCTGGAGGTTAATGCCTATACATAACCTCACTTTATTGAGTTGTTTTGATTTCCTAGCTTTCTGGTGTGACAAAAAAGTTAAAAATGGAGAGTACTAGTAGTTCTACAAAGAAAAGAGGATGCAATTTCACAGCAGAGGAGAAAAATTTGCTGATTAAAATAGCGAATCAATACAAACGTTTGATTGAAAATAAAAAAACAGATGGGGCAACCTGGAAATCGAAAGAGGAGGCTTGGGTGCAGGTTGAAGCAGCCTTTAATAGCTGCAGTAGTGGCACTGTAAGAAAGGTTCACAATATCCTCGTCCTCGTCGCTATCCAGAATATAATCATTTAAAAAATTCATATTTATCAACAACCAAAAACTCATAAAACAGAAAACCTCGAAAACAATCAACAATAACCTAACAAAACGGTTGTGACTACTCGTGATCGGTCGTGATGTGACATGACCTTGTTCTTGTAACAACCAATGAGATTGCTTACATTTATTCATCAGCATTGCCAACTTTCATTATCTGGCAGTTGATTAACTGGAGAATAAAAATGAGCTGATAAACCACTTCCAAACAAACTGGAAGTTTATCTGCTAGATATTTTTATCTGACGGATAACTAACTGATGGATAATATTGGCAATTGATAAACCGACCCTCGTGTTATGTTTATAACACTGTTACCAGTGATTAGAGTACCTTGATAATCTTTTCTGACAATTGTGAGTTGTGACAGTCAACGTCAACATTGTTGTTTATTATTGTTTGCGGTTTGATTGTTAGCAAGTCAGATTGAATAATGTTTTGAAAATCGTTCAAAGTTCATCTACAGGGCATTGAGCAATTAAAATGGCACTATTCAAGAATACTTTGACAAACCTGTGTAAGTTTGCCATTCAATACGAGAATGATACAGCACAAAGCTTTATTATTCCAATTTTTTCAGCTTTCAATGTACTCAACAAGAGTATTGCCACTTTGAGTGCCCTCTCTGAGACACATCAGATGCTCCAGAAGACATGCAGAGATTTCGCTGAAGGAGAACTCAAACCAATTGCAGCAAAAACCGATAAAGAACACTTGTATCCCAAAAAACAGATTAAAACAATGGGGGAACTAGGGTTGATGGCTGTTAGTGTCCCAGAAGAATTCGGAGGTACTGGACTTGATTACTTGGCTTATGCCATTGCAGTGGAAGAAATTTCTAGGGGGTATGTATATCTCACATCAACTGTATTTATAACTATGCATGCTTATTGTATCATTTTTCCTCTAATTCAGATGTGCTAGTGCTGGTGTTATCATGTCTGTGAACAATTCTTTATATTTGGGTCCAATATTACACTGGGGTACACAGGAACAAAAGGAGAAATTCATAACTCCATTCACAAAGGGTGATAAAGTGAGTGTCCTTTCTGAAAAATTTCTCAATAGTTATTTTCCCTAATTGGACACACCCTGTAGGTATACCTTATACCTATTTTGTTTCAGTATATTTTTCAATATAACTCCTGTTTCTGACAAGTTCAATCAAATGTTATTTTTATTTCAAAAACATGCATTTCTCATTCAATTTCTAGAGCTGGAAAAAATTGACTTTTAAGATTATAACAAAATATTCTCAATTTTGTCCCATGAGTTCATAATAATTTTAGGTCGGGTGTTTTGCCCTATCTGAACCTGGCAATGGTTCAGATGCTGGTGCAGCCAGCACAGTTGCTAAACTAGATGGGTCTAGTTTTATTCTGGATGGTACAAAATCATGGATTACTAATGGGTATGAAAGTGAGGCATCTGTTGTTTTAGCTACAACAGATAAGAGTTTGAAACATAAAGGTAGGTTTAGATACAAAAAAGCTAAATTTGGAGTGCCACAAAGATCAGTCCTAGGGCCAATTCAATTCTTAACATGTATACATTTACCTTCAATCAATGAGACACTTGAAATTGAAATATAATTTACTCTATCACTATATTTATCATTAGGTATCTCTGCATTTATTGTGCCTAAGCCTACTGAAGGCCTAGAGCTTGGAAAGAAAGAAGACAAATTGGGTATAAGGGGGTCTTCAACCTGCAATTTGATATTTGAAGGATGCAAAGTTCCTAAGGAGAATCTATTAGGAGAACTTGGTTTGGGATTCAAGGTGACAAGGAAATATAAAGATTCAAAAACAATGTCTTAGAATATTTTCAAATAGATTGCCATGATGACTTTGGATGCTGGTAGGATAGGGATTGCTGCTCAAGCCTTGGGTATTGCTCAGGCTTCTCTGGAAGTTGCTGCTGAATATTCTTCCAAGAGATTAGCCTTCGGAAAACCACTCAACAAACTACAGACTATTCAAAATAAATTGGCAGAGATGGCATTGAGGGTAAGTCTACTGGAAAATAATTGTCTCTTCAAGGGTTTTTTTTAGAATTCTCTGGGAATTGTATTTCCTTGAAAATTCTCTGGAAGTGACTATTCCAAGGAATATTTGGAGATTATTAATCAATATACCTGGTTTACTTTGAGAAGTAATTGACTTTTCTTTGTTTTGGTTCAGTATTATTTTTCCTTGGGACTCATAAGGAGTCTTTGAGATGGAATTTTCTTTCCTTAAAATGTCATTGGAAGTGCTTCACACCAAAATTCTTTTGAACATAATTGAGAAGTAATTGATTTTACTGAAATATTTTGGGAAATGATATTGACTTCACCTTCCATGGACTCTTTTATACCCTATATTAGTTTAGTGATTATAATTTACTTTTCTAGGAACTCTATGGGAATTGATTACTGTTGTTTCTTCCTGGAATTCCTAAAAAAATAATTTCTTTCTAGGGATTTTTTAGGGAGTAATTATGTCTTTTTAGAATTCCTGGCAGTGTAATTTATTCCTCAAAAAATATTTAGAAGCAGGGTTGTGATGATTTAAATCAAACTTTGAATCATGATTTGAATCAACTGATTTTTCAAATTCATGATTCGAATCAAATCATAAATTGCTGTAAAAACAAGTAGTCTGAAGCAAATAACTATGTAACATGCTACAGAAAATTTGCATTTCAACACATTTTTTTTTTAATATTGCCAAGGAGATTTTCTAACTGTGAATCTATGTAGACAACAAATATGTTTGGGAAAATAGAGAAAAATAATGGATAGGAGTGATTTTGAAATTAATTATTTTCATAGTCAAGGAAAAGATCAGTATAAGTATCATTAAAAAGTCATGATTTAATGAAAATATCTGATTTTTTAATTTCAAAAAAATCATGTATTTTGCAACTCTGTTGGCAAGTTATGAACTATTTTAGAGATCCTTTGGCAAGTGTATTCAATGTAAGGACCTTGGATTTCCTTGTGAAGTAATTGAGTCAGAGATTTTATTAAGTGATAATCTTTCCATGTAAATCCATCCTTGAGCCAGTAGTTTTCAAAATTCCTTTTGAAGTTTTCAACTTTTAGGGATCCTTTATTTAATGGGAAATAATGACTCACTAGGAAACCAGTAGAAGTGCTGTGTCTTACATTGGATTTCTTTGATTCAATTGTAGTGCTTTGAAAAGTAATTGCATCTTTGAATTTGAATTGAGTAACTGCCTCTTTTTCTCTTTGGATTCAATTATCTTCCTTTGGAGAATAATCAGATCTACCAGGGATCATCTAGGAGTACTTGTTTTTTCAATTCCTTTCTTTCCATAAAACAAATTTTAGTTGGAATCTGCCAGGCTATTGACATGGAGAGCAGCCTGGCTGAAAGACAACAAACAGCCCTACACAAAAGAAGCTGCAATGAGTAAACTAGCTGCAAGTGAGGCAGCCACTTACCTCTCTCATCAATGCATCCAAATTCTAGGAGGAATGGGGTAAGAGATTGTATTCAAAAAATTTCAAGAATGTTTTTCATGTTTTTTTCATTTGTTATTTAGCTATGTTTCTGAAATGCCTGCTGAACGCCATTATAGAGATGCTAGAATTACGGAAATATATGAGGGAACTTCAGAGATACAGAGACTGGTCATTGCTGGAAATTTAATGAAAGAAATGGGGCTCAACTAATTTCCAGGATTAAGTACAATCTTCAATGGGAGATCTAGGTTTTTTTATTAGTACTCCTGGAGTATCATAGGGTTTTACATAGAGTTGTCTTCCCAAAACAAATGAGTGGAATATAGGTATATTGTATATTTATGTATTGAAAATCACAGGACATTATTTCAAAAAAATCCAACCAATCCATTGTACCTATTCATTGTTGGTACTTCTCATTTGTCACCCAATAAACTTAATCAGACTGAAATCATCTACTTTTTAAATGTTCATTAAATATTAGACATTGTATTTTAAGACTCATTTATAGATATTTTTTATATATAAGTTTTATAGGTGTATTTACAATTATAAAGTTTAAAGAAACATGCAATTTTTATTATTTCAAGAACACTTTTGTTCACAAGTGAGTAATTGAATTTTAATCATGTTCATAAAAGAATTCAGGAATCACCCTATAATTGTTTCCATTCAGTGAAAAACATATGCTGAGTGAACATTTCATATAATTGTGCAATATTGAAATGAATTCAATGAATATTTGAAAACCAGTTCAGAATTTCTTCAACAATTGGTCTACAGATTATTTGAAAATGTAAATTTAAAATTGCCACAATTTGCCAGAGGGTTATTGCTTTAGTTTTCAAAATGACTGCTAAAATATTTGAATTCATATTGTGCAATAATGCAAACAATTGGGAATTAATTTCCAGGACTTTCAAATGTTAAATATATTAATTACAGCACTTTATTAGAAAACAAAATTTGAGGATACATTAAAATATCTTAATTTAGTGTTGTTTACGTCTGAAACTGCATCCTTCAGTCAGTCTTGCTTTGCCCCCTGTTGATGTACAGAGGATTGTGGAACAACCTTTGCAGGGGACTGCTGACTGGGCATGGGAGAAAATCGTTGAAATAGCGTAGCAACCAGGACATTTTACATCCATGAAGTAACTGTTGGGGTGCTGAACCAACCTGCAAATACATAAAAAAATATGTCAAAAGTGAGGTTACTACCATTTAACATGTGAAAAAAAAAACTTCACTTGGGATGATTTACATGAATGATTGACCCGAAATAAACACCCACCTCTTCTTTTTGTGTGATCTCCTCTGTTTTTCTGGAGAGGGATGAAGCAGATCGACAGCTAAAGGCATCTGGAAAGAAATAAATATACAATTCCTCATTGAAAAATTTACACTCTTAATATTGCACGATGAAAGATGATTGAATATTCGAGCCAACTCACTTTGAAATTACTTATTATCACTTAAAAAACTCGAAAAATGCTTCAGTCGCACGTGGTACTTTCGGCTATCAACCATGTAAAGGAATTGACAATTGACACGCAGGGCGACTATATGAAACTATTGCCAACATAATAATATGAAATATATACTTCAAATTCTTCTTTTTTTCGGGGTCTTTGCCATAAATATCAATATACCAACTTTTTCGGGCTCAAAATCTCAAATTCGATATTTACTTTAATAATTCCAAGATTGAACGTTCTTTTTGTGGAATGTAGACCTAATTTAGGAAATATTCATTATAATTTCACAAATATATCAAATTCGACATCTGCCATTGCGTCATGATATGCGCACGCTTGCGCACGCGCATATGTTTTCATTTCTCTTTTTGACATAAACATTCTCGAAGGTGAGTCTAATGGAAGGATTTTAATGAAAATATTACCTTATTTTGGACATCTTCAGTGTATTCTGTGTTTTTAATAATCGGTAATGATAATAGTTGTGTTACGAGTGGATTCGCAGTAATATTTTTTTCGTGAAGAACGTGAAAAAAGTCCGATGTTTTCAAAATGTACATAGGTCGATTCCAGTAATCCGAAAGGCCGTTTGTCGAGAAAAAACTGGAATACAAATATTCAATTCCAGTTCAAGAAGTTCTAGAGAATATGAACAAGTGAATTAATGTCCCAAGTTCAAAATTGGTTCTCCAACAAAAACATAACCTATAAAATTGAAGTGTTTTCCACACGTTGCAGGCCATTCAACCTATATTTTCATATTACAGATGGCTCCGACGGTGAAGCCCGAGAAAGCACCTGCTCAGAAACCGACCAGGAAACATAAACCTGGCAAACCCAGAAATTATGATTTGGGAAATGGAGTTGTTAGGTTCTCAAGAACAAGGATGTTCCACAAGAAAGCAATCTACAAATTCATCGGAAAGAAAGTAGCGGCTACCAAGAAACCTCAGAAACCTAGGGTCATTGAAAAACAAATTGGTGGTGAGAAAAATGGAGGAAAACGTTTTGTTTTGGTTAAAAAACGCCGTGCTTCCTACCCCACCCAAGACAGGCAAGTCTGTTTTTCAAATAATAATTAATAATGTGCTTAATCTCTGTAGTGATGATTTTTACTTAGGACACCTCTGAAAATGAGTATTCTGAGGATAAAAGTGTTGGAAACCTGACAATTGTTCCTTATAAAATGTCAAGTCATTTTTACAATTACAAGACATTCAGTGTGGTTTTTTATATTCTAGGATCAGACCTAGACCTGCCAAGAAAAGTTTTAGCCAACACAAAAGAACCTTGAGGGATACCATCACCCCTGGAACTATTCTTATTTTGTTGGCTGGTTCCCACAAAGGCAAGAGGGTGGTTTTCCTTAAACAATTACACTCTGGTCTTCTTTTAGTAACTGGTAAGTTGTATGAATGAAAAAGTAGCCCAGCAAAATTGAATATAATCTTGTTCTAGGCCCCTTTGGAATTAATGCCTGTCCCTTGAGACGTATCAGCCAAAGATATGTCATTGCTACAGCTACCAAAGTTGATATCAGTGAGGTTAAACTACCAGAAAATATCAATGACAAATACTTTGAAAGGAAGAGGGAGAAGAGGGCAAAGAAAGAAGAAGGGGATATTTTCCAGAGCAAAAAGGAGGTGAGTGATTTCAATTCACCAACTTCACCTCACTTTTTATAGAAATACATAATTTAAAGTTATAATTTTTCAAGTAGGAATGACATGGGTAATCAGACAATAATTAAGTACTGGTACAAGATCATTCATGAGTTATTATTGACTGTTTAAATTACAAATAGTGAACAAAACTTACATATTATTGATCATAGTGAACAAGATGAAAAAAGTAACTGAAGTGAGAAAAAAACTCTGCCAGCTTTGTTCAGTTCTTGGCAGTTTTTAAAATCTTCAGGTATTTTATTGAATTTTAAGCACCTCATGTGTAAATTTTTTTGTTAAGTGTAGAGTTGTAGAGTTTGCATCTTCAAGATGAAACAAATTTATTTTGTCTAGTGTGATGACCATGAATTTTGGAATTACTTATTAATATGAAATTCGATTAGAGCTCAAAAGTGTATGAAATGCAATGATTTGGTGATTTTGGATCAAAATCTTCGATTCTTTTGAGGCAATCAATCACTATCTATGAATAAAACACATTGTTTCTTATTATGATGAATGGTTGACAAAATTAAGACTGCATAAAGAGATGTTCAAAAATTTTCTATTCTATGATTTTATAAAAAATTTGATAATTTTGCAATTATCATGTGATGGGTTTTTTTCCGAAATCTTTTTTTGGACTTGCATATTTTTGTCTGAAAATTTGATAATGAAAATGTGAACAAACCATTATTTATAAAGATATTTCACTATAAAATTACAAATTTCAACATCTTTTCCGCCTGTCTTTGGATGGCATTTAGAACAATTTGCCCTTCTTTTTCCATCATTGGACAATTCATATATATCACACAATGTTGGACAAATTTTTTTTATTATATGAGTCAACTAGAAATATGATTTTCTTGTGAGTTTATCCATGTTTAGTGAGAAGAAGGAACAATATCATTTGAAATAATGGCATGTGTAATGTCATTCCAAAGCAATCTATTGACATTTGACATCTGGTATTTGGATAGCCTATGGATTAAATGGCCGTCATCTGGTATGCTTGCTCACTAAATAGGAAAAACTCACCATAAAAATCATATTTCCTATTGAATTTTCTAGTTTGAAATGTGTCATTGAAGTACATCATGAGTATATAAAGTGTCCAATGAAAAAATTAAAAGAGCTTGTACCTGTAAATGCACCTAACACAAGGCTGAAAATAAGGCAAAATTTCGAACTTTTTCTTGAAATATCTCGATAAATAGTGGTTTGTTCACATTTTCATTATCAAATTCCTGTTTTTCAGACAAAGCAAGAATTTTCAAAAAAAAAACCATCACATGATAAGTGCTAAGTTACCAAAAATTTTGCCACAGGGATTCTCAAAAAAGTGATTTTTTTTTTAAGGGTTACAAAGTAAGTGAAGAAAGGAAAACGGACCAGAAAACGGTAGATACCCAAATTATGGCCGCCATTAGGAAACACGCTGACCGCAAAGTGCTTCTAGCCTATTTGTCGGCCATGTGGGGTCTCCGGTCTTCGCAGTACCCACACAGACTCAACTTCTAGATAAGAAAAAACGACCATTCTTTATTTATATGTTGGTGAATAAATTGTGGCTTAGTATACAGTTTTTTTTTTAGTTGGAGATGTTGATTTCTAAGGTTACACAACTGATTACTGATTGTTAATTTGTGTTTTGTATGCATATGTACTCATATATGAAGCATAGCTGTCCTCAAAGATGGACCAACTTTTGTCTATAGGTAACGAAATCGACCAATAGGCGACGTAGGGAAAAAATAATACGAAACTTGTCAAACCAATATGGCTGTTTCCGTCCTTATAGATTCAAAAGGTACCTCTCATTTTGGTCCCGTTTTTGTTGAGATATCGTATAGGCGATGGGCCATATAATGATGGAAGTAAGATATGTTTCGCGTATTCGGCCTTTGTTAGGTATTTAAAATTTCAGAAAAAACACTCGACCGCCTACTATGATTTCTCTACGTCACATCGAGCGAGACGTTGAATCTACATTTTCCCGGTAGATAGTGATGCTGTTATTTACGAAAGCGCTGAACGGACATGATACTTTTTTTCTTATAATTGCCAGTTTAAACTGGCATTTAGCCATAATTGCCAGTTTGATCTGGCAATTAGCTACAATAGCCAGTTTGATCTGGCAATTAGCTACAATTGCCAGTTTGAACTGGTAATTAGCCATAATTGCCAATTCAATCTGGCATTTAGCCATAATTGCCAGTTTGATCTGGCAATTAGCTATAATTGCCTGTTTGAACTGGCAATTAGCCATAATTGCCAGTTTAAACTGGCATTTAGCCATAATTGCCAGTTTGATCTGGCAATTAGCTATAATTGCCAGTTTGAACTGGCAATTAGCCATAATTGCCAGTTTGAACTGGCATTTAGCCATAATTGCCAGTTTGAACTGGCATTTAGTGCTTTCGTACGAAAGTACCCCGCAAATGTTATGTTACAGTTCGAGCCATGACAGCTCTGTCTAATAGATGCGCATTACTTGAGAGGAAATCAGATGGCTACAAGACGAAGAAATCAAAAATGTCGCTGTTATCTGTCACAGCTGTAGAAAAATTATGGTGTATAACTCGCAGGGAATGCTAATTTCCCACTCGAATGATTGCAGCATTATTCGCCTACGGCACAGGCTGCAAATTTCATTCTCGGGGAAAATCACTATCTTTCCGTCCTCAGTCCACTCGCCCTTTCACTAGATGGCGATAACATGACTAGATTCTTTCGTACGGAAGCGCTAAATGCCAGTTCAAACTGGCAATTATAGCTAAATGCCAGTTCAAACTGGCAATTATGGCTAATTGCCAGATCGAACTGGCAATCATGGCTAATTGCCAGATCAAACTGGCAATTATGGCTAATTGCCAGATCAATTAGCCATAATTGCCAGTTCAAACTGGCAATTATAGCTAAATGCCAGTTCAAACTGACAATTATAAAAAAAAAGTATCAAGTCCGTTCAGCGCTTTCGTAGTTATTGCTGCTGTGACGAGTGGAAATAAAATGGCAAATGACATTTTAGGTACGCGGAACATAATGTAACAATGGGATTATTCAACTCTGAATTCGAAAAATCGGCGACAACTTCAAAACTGACAGATGTCATAATTGTGCAATATCGCCATCTATTAGAAGATCGACGGAACCATTGCTCTCGCTGTTCTCGTCTCGAGAGGTCGAGTAAAATTTCTGAAACAAAAGCGCATCAGTAATAATTACACCATATCTTACTTCCATCATGGGTCATATATAGAAATTGTACATATATGTGTGGTACCAATGTGGTACCGTCATGAAGTGTTAGGGTCTCTACAATGATGGAAATATCTGATCTCAAGTATTTAAGCAAAGAAGAAAATTCAATGGTAGTGTTCTTCTCAGCGTCAATGCTCCATTACGTAAAAAAAGAAGAAACTGCGTCAAAGCGAGAGTAATGCTCCATTTCCTTTGTAGCTTGTAGCAGAAAGATTTACATTCTAAAAACGATGAGATGAAGAGGAGTTAATCAATTTTGACAGCCGAATCAAGCCGAATTGTCAAATTGTAACAAAAGGAGGAATATTTTCAAATAGTGATTGGTGCCATTGGTGGTTGTGTAGTAATTTAAATATGTGTATTATCTGAATAATTCCATGATATCGATCAAAATGAGCGAGTCCGAGGAAACGAATAAGGAGAAACGCCATCACGATAGTGACAATGACTCTGACGGGTTTGTGGGGCCAACTCTGTCAGAAGCTGCCCCGCCGAAAAAACGGAAAGTTCTTCCCCACGAAAGGCTCTATCTGGAGAGCCTTCCTTGCGCAGAGTCATATGAGAAGAGTTACATGCACAGAGATGTCATCACACACTGTCTTGTTTCCTCTACTGACTTCATAGTGACTGCCAGCTGTGATGGCCATATAAAATTTTGGAAAAAGATGGAAACGGGTATTGAGTTTGTCAAACATTTCCGCAGTCATTTGGGGCCTATAGTCAAGATAGCATGCAACAGTGAAGGAACTTTGTTGTGCTCTGCTTCACTGGACAAATCTTTGAAAATTTTTGATGTTGTCAACTTTGATATGATCAATATGCTGAAATTGGAGTATGTTCCTGGTACAGTTGAATGGATTCATGGATCAGGAGACCCTATACACTCCCTGGCTGTATCTGATAAGGAATCTCCAAATATTTATATCTATGATGGGCGGTCTGATGGAACACATCTGGAAGTGTTGGGTAAAATTCACATGAATCCTGTAAGTCTGATCAAGTATAATCCAAAATATGATGTTGCTATATCTGCTGACAAAAAGGGAATGTTGGGTGAGTAAACTCTCCATCATTAGTTTGAAGTGGATTGTTTCATATGTTGAGCTATTTTTTTCAGAATATTGGACTGGTAACAAGCAGGATTATATTTTTCCTAAAAATGTAGCCTTTGATTCCAAATTGGATACTGACTTGTTTGAATTTGCAAAAAATAAAACTTTCCCTACTGGCCTAGCATTTTCTGTTGATGGCAAAAAATTTGCAGCTATTTCTACAGACAGAAGAGTCAGGGTTTTCAATTTTATCACTGGTAAATTGGTATGATTTTTAAATATATTTATTTTTCAATATTGCTTCAATGTAGTCTGTAAGAAAGATGAATAGATTTTAAATTCCTCAAGATAGATTTTAGTTATATGTTTGGAAATATTTTATCATCATATATGAAAACAAAAAAGTGTTTTTCCTAGGTAACATAAATTTTGAAAAAAAACTTATTAACTTTACCTAAATACAACCTACAGTTTTTTAGAGAAATTGAAGAAAAAACCAGGTATTGGAACCTACATATTTTCATTGATAGGAGTTCTGAGCTGGTAGCTCTCCCGTTTCCCTAGAAACACATTAATAGGGATTCATTTTCACTCTAAAATATAATTTCTCAAGTCAGAAAATTTTCCAATTGAAAAAACTAACAAATTTTTTTCATTTCTTATACTTGAAATACTGAAAAATCTCACTTTTCCCAATTGCGATTTTTTTTTTAAAGTCACCAGATTTGACCATTTATCATATAAAAACCAATAAAAACAGGGTACTGTCAGTAGTTGAGCATTCACTTCAAATGAAGAACTTGGGAAAATAGGTATTTTCACAGAAGTTTGTCCATAATATATACAATCTACAAAATACTGGAGATTATAATTTACCCATATAAGTATCACTATAACAAGCATTGTCCATAGTTTTCAATATTCATCTCACCATGAGAGGCAGTGAAAATTTTAAATCTTTTTATAAAATGTTGAAGCCTATAACCACTCTCTACCCACACTATTTTTATTTCCAGTTGGACCTATTTTTTCTAATGGTGGTACCTGTCCTTTGTTTCTTCAAATATGTCCGTCCATACCATGAATGTTTGTGAATTTAAGAATTCAATAAATCACCCGGGTGATTTCTTGAAGAAAACCTTTCTATTTTCTCACTACAAGATCAGAACAAGTTTACAAGTAATGTCTCATTTTGATGGAACAGCTCTAAAACCCTCACTAAACCCAAAAAAACAGTAGATTACTTTAAAGTTGAAATCATTAATATCTTTATTTTGCAAAATTTGTTCAGGTGTTCATTTCGATAGAGTTTTTTTGATTTTCTCGCCTTGTTTCTCTAAATCACAAATTGGTCATGCTTCAGACAGTATTTATGAATAGTGTTACTGATTTTTCCGGATTTTTCATATGTTTATTTTATAGAAACAAGGAGAGACAATCCCAAAACATCTGGAAAAATGAATATACAGGGTGTTTCAGAGTTGTGGTGACAGAAGCCTAGGTAGTCAAGTTTGAAGAAAAAAGATTTTTTATCAATATCACGCCGATTTGAATGAGATTCTCATGGTTTGTTTTCACAATGATTAGGAATACATTAACTGGATCAATTAAATTTGATTCAGACTTTCCAGAGATGTACCCGTGTTTTTTTTTCTCGGGTGCTTCATGAATATTCAGATTAACCTGCTGAAAATAAAACATTTCTGCCTGTTGCTGTTTATTCCTATCTGCCTTATTCATTTTCGAGAAAAACGGACTACACCATACCTTGGCATATTTTTGAATAACTCTGGAAATAACTCCAGAACATCCTTTCAAAATCTATGCATCCATACATATGAACGAATACTAATGCAAGGGTCTTTCCCTAATGCCGATTGTGTGTGTGAAACGCATTCATTCCACTTTGTGCATTGTGAATAGTCCTTAGTTGAAATAACGCCATTCGGGAAATCAGCCACTCCCATTTTTGGAAATTATTGTTTTGTGGAGTGTTTATTGCCGATTGGGATTCTTTGGGCCAGGTTACGCTTAGTCGTCGGTCTTTGGACTGCTAGCTGGAGACTACCCTACACTGATGACAGTCAAGGAGCTCGAAATCGGTCTGTAGGTATCCTTACGTTGACCTGGCTAAATCCAAAATCAATCGACATTAGTGAAAGAAACACCTGCATTAGTATTCGTTCATACGTATCGATGCATAGATTTCGGGAGGATGTAATTCAATATTCTGCGTGGCATTAGCCAGGAAAATAGTTGTTTTCTCTCGTCATCTACCATTGTTGTTCATTTTGTGAACATTTGTGAAAATGACTTTGAGCTTTTTTGTATTCATTTAACCTTGAATACCTGTAGAGCTTTGTCGGTCGGATTTCGAAACACCCTGTATAAGTGATTTTTGTGAAATCATTTATTGTTACTTTCGAGCATCATGTTTCTAGTTGAGGGTATTGGACGAAACCTTGCCTAGGTTCACGGAACACCAACAAAAAACCCAGCAACTGCCCAACATGGAGTTTGGCAGACGCATGGCCGTAGAAAGGGACTTGGAACGGTCCGAAAGTTTCGAACTAGGCAACATAACCTTCGACGAAAGCGGCTACTTCATTATGTACGCGACACTGTTGGGTGTCAAGCTCATCAACATACACACCAACAGGTGTGTCCGTATCATCGGTAAAAACGAGAATTTGCGGATGCTGAACGTCGCTCTCTATCAAGGCAAGTCAAAACGCCGCAATAAACCACGCCAAACACATAAATGAAAACGTTTATTTGTACTGCCTTTCCAGAAACCTCAATTTCCGACCCGTAAAGTAGAGAGGAAAATGGTAGTTTTTCAATACTTTCATATTAGCAGGATTTTTGTTATTTTATCAACCACTTTGCCAATAAAGGCATAGGAGCCACCTCTGTTATAATTAACCCGAATTCATTGTTCTGATGCGAGATTCGCATTAATGGCACTCGAATCTAGTAGGTGTAGGTATCAATAACGACTTGCCATATGCTGTCATGTTCATGGCTACTAGATTTCAATTGGAACTGAAAAGATGTGCTTTCATAGTGACAATAGGTCCATATTTCAGTTTCACAGAACTGAAATTGTATTGCTAGTGGTGAAAAAAATTCAATATACACCTTGGTAGTGAAGAACATTACCACGGGACTTCATACCCCTCGGCTGAACCTTCGAGAATTAATCTTGGTCCGTGGGTAATGATATTCTTTACTACCTTGATGTATTGGTGTATAAATAACTAATTCTTAGGCTCGGCAAAAAAGGCCAAGGCGGCTGTCACGCTAGAAATCGAGGCTTCCAACAACCCCACGTTGGACGCCATTCAACCGGATCCCACAATAATCTGTACGGCATATAAAAAATCACGCTTTTATCTCTTCAGCCGAAGAGAACCTGATGATATCCAGACCGATCAGGTAATCATTAGTTGATCTCCATACTTTGGAACAAAAAAATATCCGGAGTGTAAATATTTTTGTTTTAGGACAGAGACGTATTCAATGAGAAACCTTCCAAGGAGGATACGATGTCAGCAACTGAAAATCCAGCGGTTCAGAGACTGTACGAGAATGCTATTTTGCACACTGTGTTTGGGGACATTCACGTCAAACTGTTCGTGAAGGACTGTCCTAAGACCGTGGAGAATTTTTGCGTTCACAGCAAGAACGGGTACTACAATGGGCACATTTTCCACAGGGTCATCAAAGGATTCATGGTTCAAACAGGTGTGGATAAGATTTTAGTGTCAATTACTGATTTTGGGAAGATGTTCGAAAATCACTGGTGGCGCTTTTACGAACAGATCGGAGTTACTTTAGAGATGATAATTCAAGCCTGTTTCATGGATTGAATGACTTGAAATCTTGAACGCTTGATGACGATTCTTCTAGTTCATATACGTACCATACTTACCTAAATATTAACTGTCGTAATTCGAAATGACCTTCTATTTCCTAAAAGTGCATTCATTCCTACTAATAATTTTGGCTGACTTCGGTTTCATTACAATTGAACCAGCCTCAATACAAATGCAGTTGACATCTTTGGTGACCAGTTATCCCATCTTATCATACCTACCTCCTTTTCATATCCTCCAAAGGTAAACACGAGGTTCTTCGAACATTACCGAGGGACTCCGTTTCGTCCAAGAGATAAAAAAATACAACTAGAATTCTGGAATTTCAGGTGATCCCACCGGTAACGGCACAGGCGGCGAGAGCATCTGGGGTGGGGAGTTCGAGGACGAGATAAGGCCTCATTTGAGGCACGACAGGCCCTACACGGTCTCCATGGCCAACGCGGGGCCCAACACCAACGGCAGCCAGTTCTTCATAACAATGACCCCCACCCCATGGCTGGACAACAAACACACCATTTTTGGAAGGGTGGTGAAAGGGATGGAGGTGGTGCAGAATATTAGTAATGTTAAAACGAACACGAAAACAGATAAGCCGTTTGATGATATTAGGATCGTTTCTGTTACTGTAAAGTGATTTTCATGTCAATACATTATTTTATCTACAGCTACCGAGTCATTCATGCATTGCTAACTCGATTTTGCATTTTCGTCATCTCATTCTCTCCAACTAGAAAATCCGGCTCGAAGGACCAATATGTTTGTCGTCTATACAGATAAATTATAAAATTATCGTGAGAACAATCTAACGTCTGAATTTTTGATGTAATGAGTTTAATAATATCACTCTGGTCATATCAATAAATCTTAGGAAACAACAACAAGATGGAATGATGGAACTTCTTCGTCTTGTTTTCTTTAACGTCGACCTCTTTCTGCTACTATGAGCCCAACCGGACATTTTTGCCGAATCCTCTGGTGTCCTAACCAGAGGTAGGGATCTTTAACGAGTCCAACATCCATGGCCTCGGACGATATCTTGTGCTCATTGATATGGTAAGCTGTACCTTTGATATGAAATTTCGCTACAGATGTGCGGGTATTGTCGATCTAAATGAAAACCTAGTAGGCGATCTAGTGCGAGGAGGTAATAATAAGCTCTCGGCTACTAACTACCTAACTAGGTTGTCATCTATAACGGCAATGGTGCGGGCTTGCGCGGCGTTTCCTTGAATGGTTACCCATCCAAGTACTAACCGCGCTCGATACTGCTTCACTTCAGATATCGAACGGCTGGTACCTTACCTGAGAAGCTAGGGCGATGCCCACGATGGAACTTGATTGTTGTCTTACTCTTCCACTCTATATTATCATATGGAATAATTGGATGGGGTGGTATGAAATGTATGAAAATATGTCTTGGAAATAATATTTCGTAAATCATTTGATTTTCCACTTGTAATTGATATTCAATGACAATCATGTAGATTTTCCTCGATTAAATAAATGAATAATTGATAAAAATTGATAAAAAATAGCAATTATTAGTTTTGACGTAGATACTTCCGTTTCTAAATGAATAAAATGCAACGATATGATTCATTTCACATACTGAAATGGCAGCCCCAGTTCTTCATCACGATGATGCCCACCCCATGGCTGGACAACAAACACACCATTATCAGGAGGATGGTGAAAGGAATGGGAGAAAAATCAGTAACATGAAAACGGACGTGAAGACTGATAGGACGTTTGATGATATCAGGATTGTTTTGTTTAGGTAGTGTGGAATATTACTTGTCATTGGGAATTTATCTCGAGCGTTGAGGATATGCCGATCTTAAGTTCTGTCCTTGATTATATACACTATACTCAAAGATTCTGTTGAGTTTGTGGTAGTTGAACATATCAGAATGCAATATATTGTGAATAATTTCATATATCAAATCATTCTGTATGAGGGTCCTCTTGATTGAATCCAAAACCATTTCGAGAAAACTCATTATGCTCACATTATGCTCCATCTCCCCAATGAAATATAAGAATTGGATCCCTGTCAAACGGGGCGATCTAAACTACTCGAGATTTATCACATTTTCAGATATATCATCATGTCGAAACGGTAGACATAGGAAAAATACTGATGTCCCCAATGAAATGATGGCTATTATTATAATCTTGAAAGAAATTGGAAATTGGTTGAGCTAATCTAAAAGTGATTACGGTTCGAAAATAGGGAATTTTTTACTTGTCTTGTGTTCCAAATGTGGAGGAGTTTAGAGTTTAGAAGAACGTTTCGACGGATAATAGCCACTGCCTGAAAAGTCGACTTCTTTGGACTTCTATCAAAGAATATAGAACATGTGAATCCTTGAAAGTTAGGAGTTGGATAATAAATTAGCTATTATTGTTTTTTAGGATTTAATGAATAACCAATAACATTTTCCGGCTGATTCATTCCAGAAAGGCAAATCCAGTACTCAAAGTGAATGGATGACCGATAGTCGGCAACTTGAATCACTATAGTTTCAGTCGTGTATACTACAAAGATTGAACGGGAAAAGAAATTGTTGAAATCATTACAAAAAAATGCGATATCTGTCGAATATTTTATTGAATATCAGTATCTACTTTCATAAATTATAATACTGCAGTGAAGGTATTTACTATTTACACTATTTACAGTATGCAATACATCTAAAAATCAACACTTGGAAACAATATTATTTTGTGAACCAACGAACCCATTATTAATCACACCTTTATTTTCATTTTCAAAATGGGAATTTAGAATGACATCTTCAATCATCGTCCAATTACGATCCTCTTCATTCAAATCCTTCAACACTGACAAAAACTTCTGCTCGATTTTTTGGATGTTTCTGAATTTAGGCGAAATCATTTTGCCCAAAAACAGCTCGACAACCAAATCCTCGATGATGATGCAAACCACAAAATTGACAAAAGCGATAAAAATCATGGTGTATCGACCTTCTAGGGGTGGAAGCTTCAGTTCAATCAGTACCCTAAGCCACTCCATGGGTATGACAACCATGTACGCAGAAATAGCTGTCATAATGATCAAGGACAGTGTAAAATAAATATTCGTGTACAACGGTTTTCTGTATGGTTTTCCTTTGGAGAAAACCACACACATGATGATGTACTGAAAGATTGATGTTGCATAAACCGCATAGTTTTCATAACAAAGAAAGTTCATGTCATCACTCTGGTTGTACTTGAACGGAACGAACCAATCAAAAGTTTGAATCCAGTAGTACCCCACCAGTTGGAACATGATAGCTAAAACCATGAAACAAACCATGGAGGAGATAGGTATGAACCCCATGAGGCTAGTCTTTGGGGGTGATTTATGCAGAGTCTCATTCGCTTTAGCATTCCCAAAAACCGAGGCAAAATTCAGTATCAAGCAAATATCGATGAACAGGAACTGAAGGGAGCCCAAATTAGCGTCTATGTTGTAGAGAATTAGCACCGAAGTCAGTTCAGTGAGGCTGGAGCACAACATGACTTTGAACACGCCGAAAGATGTTTCTAGAGCCGCTCGGCCCTCCTTGATGACTTTGGGAACACAAGATATGTTTTGCTCCTTGGAGGTGAATGGTGAGGCGACGCTGGATTCTGCCTCCGAGAGGGATATGCCCACGTGAGCAGCCTTTAGGGCACCACAGTCGTTTGCTCCATCGCCACACATAGCTGAAATTATGATAATTTTGAGTATAAAATCTCGAATTTTTTTCTTATGTTCTGGTTCCCACGCCTCAAAATTTTGAAATTATTTTTATAAAATTTCGAGATTATATAGTGAAAATCCCGATATTTTTTGAACGCTGCGTACAATATTGTTCAGTGGTTTGACTTTGATTGAGAAGAGAGCCTACTACTGGTAACTGAGACACTATGACTCCTGTCACTGTCATTTAATGTGTGGTTAGGGCAATGTTGTTTGTTTACATTGGAAGCTGCCCAATCTGGGAAGTGTGAATTTCGAATTCATTGCAAAACTACTATCAATAATGCTATTATTTGAGTATTCATAGTGAAATCACAATTTATGAATTATTTATTTTTATCAAAATAAAATGGACAACATTGATCCCCTAGATTTTCCTAAGATCTGTCGCCTATGTTTATGCCAGGGCAGGTTGAAGAATATTTGTGATTTGCCGAGGTATCTTGAGATCATACACAGCAATACAAGAGTCAAGGTATGTGATTTTCAATACTCAGCTTACTCTTACTTTAACACTCTTGGATATTTCAGATCCAAGAAAGTGATGAACTGCCAAAGAACGTTTGCAATGTTTGTGTAAAGAAACTAGAAGGAATATTACAGTTTATCGATCTATGCAACAAAAGTAATGATGCTCTCCTATTACTGCAGGATATAAAAATAAAGTCGGACCAGTGTGTGGATGAATCATCTATCATACCAAAAAATGAGAACAAAAATGATAGTTATGATAGTGATTCATTAAAATCTGAAGATAATGCTGATTGCGATTTACCTGAAATGGAAAACAATGTTCCTTCAGAGTTTTCTTTTTCTTGCATATTGTGTAACTGGGTAGGCAATAATAGAAAGTCCCTGAGAGATCATGAAAAAGAACATAGAAGCCAGTGGAATGGTTGGAAATGTTTGGATTGTGACAAACTGTTCCAGAAAAAAATTGATTTCCAAAGACACCGTCGGGTTCACACAGGTATAAGGCCATATTTGTGTATCATTTGTGGTAAAAGTTTCACACAGAAAGGTGCCATGGAGCGTCATTTTCAGTCTCGTCATGGAAAAAAAGAAGTTAGAGACCGACTTTTTGCATGTTATATTTGTGAGAATAAATTTTTTCGGAAAGACAACCTAAACGCCCATATGAAAAAAGTTCATATAAAAAATCAACATAATATAATGTTCGAATTAGATGATTCCTCTTCCTCAATTTGTAAAAAATGTGGTAAAACATTCAGTATGTTTTCTTATCTACAAGATCACCAACCTGTTCATGAAGAAAATGTGCCGAAAAAATCCAAAACCAAGACAAGGTTTTCTGCACCATCTTCAAATCTGTGCATCATCTGTGGACAATTATTTGAAAAAAGGAAAACTTTCCATGCACACATGGCCAGAAAGCATTCAGACTTTTCTTACAAAAGAAAACCTCACAGACAAAAAGGGAGCTTTCAATGTTACTTCTGTGGAAAAATTCTAACCACACAAGGCAACCTCAAAGTCCATATTAGAATTCATACAGGAGAAAAACCTTACACTTGTCAGTTTTGCGGTCAGAAATTTGTTGCTCAAACCAGTTGGGAAGAGCATGAAAATATTCACACTGGTGTGAAGCCTTTTGAATGTGAATATTGCAATAAAAGATTTCGGCAGCGAGCTTCTCTAAGGAAACATCTGAGATCATCACTACACAGAAAAGATGGTGTTGGTGACTACTACAATAATGCTGTGGTTGTGCCAAATGAGCAGAACGGAAGTACGATGAACCCTTAGAGCGATTCAACTTAGTTTTCTTTGTCTCGAAAATCATATTTCATATTAATATTTTCATGTATTGACTACTGATATATAATGATATAATATATAAGTATATATAATATACTTAATTTGATTTTCACTATTTATTCTCCAATCTCAACTTCAAAGCTGGTAAAGTGCGCGAAGGGCAATTTCTCTTGGTAAAATAAGTAGAAGAGTACGAAAAATAAGAAGATTACTCAAGTAGCTTATATTTCGAAGTGATGAGAAGAAGAATTCGCGAAAATCACGAACCAATAGATGGCGCTATCAAACGTCAAATCAATGTCAAAATGAGTATGACATCCTTTATCGGCGTGTTGGAGCATATGGTTGGAGCAGGATTGTAGAAGGAAGTTGGCTTCATTTCGAAAGGTTATGAATGTAGTAGTTTTATTATTATTTATGCATTGAAATTCCTCGAATAGAGTTCGATCCTAAACGAAAATATAATTGAATCAATGAATCACTATCGGCCATATTAAATGATATTATCCTCCCTCATTTACTGATTACTGCTATCGACCCAGGACATAATGAAGCCGACACCCATAGCTCCTTCCTGGTTCGAGATGCTCGTTATCCTTCAACTTTCTACTTCGAAAACCGAGATTTCATCTTTTTTCAATATATGGTTTGCCATGTATCCTAGGTAACAAAGGCCACATAAACCCAAAGTGTATAAGATTAAATAAAAATAGAAGACGCCGAAGACGAACATAACCTAATTTTGTTTCAAAAATGGAGGCAAAACTTTCGTATATAAGCAGAGTTCAAGAATTGTGGACCGAGTTGAAGTGAGTGTGTGATGTAGTGTTGTGAAGACATGTCGAAAAGCACATACAACATAACAAGGTTCAAATCAGGAGAGGCTGAAAACAATGATGAAATAATATCAGATATACAAATTACCTACGGATTCACCGAAACGAAATTTGGAGAATGTCTCGTAGGGTTGAAAGGAAAAGAAAATACCATATGTTTTTTGTCGTTCATGGGTCCAAACTACCCCGGAATAGACGGTCTAAAGAGGATTTTCCCCAAAGCAGCTCTCACTATGAACAACAATCTCATAGCCAACAAGCTGAAACAACTATTCGAAGAAAGCGTTAAAGGGGGCCACATCGAACTTCTCTTGAAGGGCACCGATTTCGAAATAAGGGTGTGGGAGCACCTGGTGAAACTGAAAAGGGGTTCCACAACCACTTATGAAGAAGTTGCGAAGGACATCGGCCATCCGAATGCAGTAAGGGCTGTAGCAAATGCAATAGGAAAAAATAATATTTCCTATTTCGTGCCCTGTCATAGAGTGATTGCCAAGAGAAAAGGCATTATTGGGGGGTACAAATGGGGAGTGCAAAGGAAGAAGCAGATGCTGCAAGATGAAGAGAAAGCGTAAGTTTTTTCAGTTTTTTCTTTGACTATTAGTTCAGGAGATATGCTAAAAAACCGAAATTTGCCGATTTAGTTTTTATTTTTTTCTGACGTTATTCAAAAAGATATAAGGAAACAAGAGACACATCATCATTAATTGTCACTTCGAGCGTCGAGTTTTATACAGGTTATACTTTATTAACGGGTCATGTGAAAAAATGAAGTTGATGATGGTTTGTCCGAAATAGAAAGTCGTACGGAAAATTCCTCAACACTGTTTTGTAGAGCTTAAAAATTCGCAGTGGGAAAGTGTTCTTTGTTTTACTATATCTCTATAAATAACGTACAAGTATCTCTTATGGTTTCCGAGATCCCCGTGATAGACATTCTTATTTTGGACACACTAATAGATTTTCTATAACAATTGCTTGACTTGAGGAAAGCATCATCTCTTTGTTATAATAATGTAGACGGTATAGCTAGAGTTGCCATAGCAACTAGTGAGTAATAAGAAGACCAGATTTGCTCAGGGAAAGTTTCGTGATTATTAACGTATCACACCAGATTTATAATTCCACCATGATTATAGCCATAGTAAAATGGTTCTGAATTGCATGCTTGCATGTTTCTTCTTTTCAGAGCAAAGCAAACAATTCTGGATAAATTTTGGAAGAAGAAGAAGACTGCGTCTGATCAGCCGGCAATTGATAAAAGTAAGACTGTGTCTGATGAGCAGGCAATTGAAAAAAGTAAGACTGAGGAAATTCAACACTAAGCATCGCATTTCTTCCCAATCTATTCTACATTTCAGATAGTAATGATAGAATTACTATGTTTATAAATTATCTTTATTTTATTTCAGTTGAAAGATTTGGCAAGAGTGAATATGAATATATATATATATATATATAGGTACTAATATAACTTTGTGACTTCCATTGCATTGAACAGGCGGACCGACCTCCACTGTTTCTGATCCTATATATGAAAACATATTTGCATATTTATCAATAGGGGAATATATATTACCAAGTTCTCTAGAGAGGGGTAAGCATTTCCTTTTTTTTATTCATTCATATATATCGTACGAAGTGACTTCCAATTCATATATTCAAATTAATCATAGCTAGGCCGTTATAGACTCCGACCTCTAAGCCAGATATTCGGTGGTCACATCGATGATTGATAGGAATATAATAGTGTGAATTATCAAGACGATTATTGTGTTGATCAACTTTCTGAAAACTCCGCAAATGTATTTATTTCTATTTCAGTACTTCATTGAGTTCGAATACCGAATAAATTAGAACTCATAAATTAATAATATGTTTATTTCTGAATAAGTACAAACATTACAAAGAATTCATTTATGACTTCGCATCAAATGCTGTAACATTGATTTCACAACTGTAGGATCTCTAGAAATTCCATTATCTGATCTCGATGAATGATCCGAATTTACTTTTGAGTAAACTAATTTCCTTCGCAGTCCATCCTGAAATGCAACAAGATGATTTCGATAAATTATTCAGAAATTATTGATGTATTTTCTGAATCTTGAAAGAATCAGCACACTGAATGAAGGATAATATACAGAAGAAGACAGATTCATTTGCTGGTCTATGGGTTGTTTCACTTTTAATCTGCCAAACTTCAAGAGGTCCGCAATCGCTTCGTTTTCCTTTTACAGGGTGTTGATATTGAAAAAATTTATCTTTTTTTCATTATTCGAAATTTATTTGGGATTTTCTCTCCTCGTTTCTATAAAATGAAAATCTGAATATTATTTCAATATACGTGTAGTAAGGACAAATCAGATGATTAGCCCCAAATTGTCACTGCGTTTAAAGAATTTTTCTATCAGAGAGCCTAAAAGGAAAATTCACTAGCTTGTCAGTGACAATTTGTATTTAAAAAAGTTTGGAGAAAAGAAATAAAATTTTCGTGTGACAATTGGTGACGTTGGCGATCAAATGAGTTACAGGATGTCTTCATAAATTAATCTTGAATTCACCATTTTCATGTTCAGATTTCAGTAGTGAATACCATGTTCTGTCTATATCAACTGAACAAGAAGCAATGCTATTGCCTTCGTTCAGAAGAATGCAAGCAGATTCCTTGATTTTTCTCTTCTGGTTGTTATCTTCTTTTCCAATGATTTCAATATTATTCCACTCTGCCATATATTGTCCATCTTAATAATATTGAAATCATTGGAAAAAAAGATAACAACCAGAAGAGAAAAATCGATTCCTTGATTTTTCTCTTCTGGTTGTTATCTTTTTTTCCAATGATTTCAATATTATTAAGATGGACAATATATGGCAGAGTGGAATAATATTGAAATCATTGGAAAAGAAGATAACAACCAGAAGAGAAAAATCAAGGAATCTGCTTGCACTCTTCTGAACGAAGGCAATAGCATTGCTTCTTGTTCAGTTGATATAGACAGAACATGGTATTCACTACTGAAATCTGAACATGAAAATGGTTAATCCAAGATTGATTAATGAAAACATCCTGTAACTCATATCATTGCCAACGTCACCAATTGTCACTGATAACTGAGAAGTTTCAAGACAGATACGATATTGCTATTAAAATGACCATTTTTTATGATGAAAACGGAAGCAGATTTGGTTCCGAAACGTCCAAAGATAAGTGAAAATTCGATATTTTTTCTATTAAACTCTATTTCTCTTCTCCAAACTTTTCTCAATACGAATTGTCACTGACAAGCTAGTGAATTTTTCATTTATGCTCTCTGATAGGAAAATTCTTTTAACGCAGTGACATTTTGGGGCGAATCATCTGATTTGTCCTTACTACACGTATATTGAAATAATATTCATATTTTTATTTTATAGAAACGAAAAGAGAAAATCCCAAGAAAATTTGGAATAATGAATGTTCCACCTCCTCGATTAACCTACAGACAGTATCCAATCTTTTTTTCATGAATATTCCGAAAACCCTCATCCCGATTACCTTGAAACTTGCATGGTTGGAAATCTTTTGAAGTAATGGGCTTATATCACAAAAAAATTTCATTTCATAATTCGATAGAACTCACCCAAACTAGCTCACCACCGCAAACCGTTTCTTGCTGTGAGCTCCCTACGTTTTATAAATAATTATTGAAATCCCCGATTTTTCGGACCTCTGAAAACGAGGCGATGGTGTGACGTCAAAACCCTAATACTGAAACGAGACTATTCCAAACAGAGATGAATGATACATGATTTCTGACAGAGTGAATTAGCGCGAGATCACAGTTGAAAGAATTAATATATCAGTTGCCTCAGTTTCCGTCGGGCGATTGGTATTTTCTTTCAACTATGGCGAGATGAGGTTTCTACGTCATAAGAGGGTCCGTTTTCAGAAGGTACTATTATTTATGTCCATAAATAAAACATTCCAGTTAATTTTCCGATCGAATTATGTCGTCAATCATTATTTATGTATAAAAGGATCATTATAAACATGGTTTGAGTTGAAAGTTCTACTAAGGTGTACACGCCCATTCAATCCGCCTCTCAATCCAGTGGTTCACATATTTGTAATCCATTTCAATACACTATCATTGCAGAATTGAACTGAAACTGTTATCAATCAAGAACTTCTGAATAATACATATCAAGGTTGAACGAAAAATGGATTGTTCGAATAGCAGAATGATGATGGACATAATAAAATGAAGAAAATGCATCTAGTGTGTTTTTCATCAACGATAGAATATTCGAAACATTTACCCACCTTGTATAATGATTCTCGAGAGTAATTTAATAGTTTCATGAATGATGGTCAAACATATAAACCCCCGGTATAGCGAAATCTAAAAGTTGAAACATTTTCTAAAAGAAAAGCTCCCATTCCAATGTGCTAGAAAGTATATAATAATTTATTTGGATGTTTGACGTAGGTTATTCTGTAAGTTACTAATTCGAAAGCTTGCCGCGCCAAGTTATTTGTTGAAATAGGTACAGGAGCGGCAAGCTTTTGAATATGTTACTCACAGAATGAGCTACGTCACACATCCAAAGAAATTATTTTTCACTTCTTGGCGCATTTCAATAAGACCTTGTATGTGAGAAGTATTTTTCTCCGACCCCAAAAACTTCCACATACCAATATTGAATCGAATCGGATCATAATCAGAAATCTCCTCTGTCATCTTGGAGCTGCCATTTTGAATATATGAACTTCGACAACAAATTTATAATTTCCGACCCCGAAAACCCCGACATACTTATTTTGAATTGAATCAGACAATAACCACATATCTCGTCGCCATTTTGAATTCATAATAATTTTATTATATTCGAACTTTGGAGACCCTAAGATTCTAATTTTAAATCAAATCGGAATATAATCACAAACCACGTCCGCCATCTCGGAGCGGCAATCTTGGATTTATGAATTCTGACAACAAATTCATGATTTACGATCCCAAATACTGAATTTGAATCGAATCGGATCATAATCTCAAATCACGTTCGCCATCTTAGAGACGCCATTTTGAATTCATACATTTTGACAACAAATTCATAATCTTCGACCTCGTGAATCCCACACACTAATTTCGAATCCAATTAAACAATAACTACAAATCTCGTCGCCATATTGGAGCTGCCATTTTGAATTCATGAATTTCGACAATAAATTCATATTCTCGACACCATACATCCCCAAATCAATTTTGAATCGAATCTCTCTGCCACAAATATCATAACCGAATTATTTTTATTACTGTTCATTCCACTACGAATCCAGAAAAAGCAGCAACATTCCAGCAGGCAAATTTTCACATAATACTTGATAAGCAAACTCTCAGTTTATATGGAGAATTTTCCATCAACGATACAATATTCGAAAAATCGAAATCATTATTCTAAACAGAATTCGAATATCCAGGCATGGTGATTAGGATTTGATCATATTGATTGTTGAACGTTCACGAGAAATAATTTGATGAAAGGGAGAATAAAAAATCAATTCAGGGATTTACAGCCTCACTTGTGGGTCGTACCTATGCATCATTTTCCTATGAATGCAAATATTTTCAAAAATCTCTGAATACATCGTTATGAACAATATATCCATGTTCCTAGCCACTGAGTGCTAAAAAAAATATCCATAATAAGCCAGGGCAAAAACTAGAAGATAAAAGGTACTCACCTGTTCATGAAGAACCTATAATTCCAATATCAATGAATTGATTCCAACTTACCTCCTTTCGCATCATATAACGCCTTTGCCATATCTACGATTTTCCTACTCTTCTCCATTTTCCGAAACACTCAAAACTGAACAAGTCAATAAATTAAACAGATCAGTTCGTCAGCGGAGGTCATAAAGTACTGAGACTGAGAGTTTCACCAGAAGCGAAATCAGCGCCCGCGGGAGATATCGGAACTAAAACCATATATTTGGTGATATTCGTAGGTCGGAGTGACCTCCACCGTTAAATTTGAAGATAGACTGGGACAACCATTCTAATTGCTTCTGCTAAAAAAACTACACGATACGTTGTGACCTCCGCTTTCGGAGGTGATAACGTCATATATGAGGTCTTAACGTACACCCAACATACATTTTAGGAGGTCACTTCGTATAGGATATAGGTATATATATATATATATATATATATATATATATATATATATATATATATATATATACATCCTGCTATCATTATTGCGTCCAATCATTGCCCTTTTACATTTATTACTGCGTCCTTCTATTTATTGCGTCCATATATGGACGCGATAATGTCATCAACGTTAAACTTTGGATAGAACTGCTTGAAATAATGTAAAAAAATGTGTTTTGAAAGCCCATGCCTCCACCTATCGATAGATCTGAGATTGACTGGTCTATCTGTCCAAATACTCGAGATATGCGGAAAAGTCTTTTAGCACATCGGA